CCCTTTCCTGGTTTGGATGAGCCAGGGAGGACCCAAGATAAACACTGATGTCAAGTCTTACTTTCCTGGTTAGATTTGCTAGCCCAGGAATGGTTCAGTTATCCTCTATCTTTTTGCCTGGAGGCTATCAGTAGTGATTACTTAAAGAGCTTTGGCTTCTGCTTTGAATGAGAAACTATCTCAGGTGTTCAGCATAAGGTGATTTCCGGAGGGTGGGGCAGATGCTGGTTGTTAATAAGCCTCAATTTGCATTTCAATGGCCACTGTGTGGGTTTGAATCTCCGAGGGAGGGGCCTCTGCCTCTCCCCTGAGCCCTGGGAAGGAGTAAGATGACCACTGCCCTGCATGGCCACAACTCAGCAATAGCTCTGAGTGCCCTCCAAATCCCGAGTTTCCCCACACAGTTCCAATTCAGTCCACCCTCCCTTTGCCAGAGTCCAAGGTGAGTGGCTGTGGCTATTTTAGTCTCTGTCCTGGCTCTGCACTGTGGAGCCACTTGGGAGTTTAACCTGAGGGTGCTGCTCACAGCTAAGGCAGCTGCTCACAGGTAAGGCTGCTGCCAACTGTGGGCTCTCAATCTCCTCTAGCAGCTTCACAGTCCTACCAGGATTGAGTCAGAGTCCCCGGTTATATGGTTCTCCAAGCTGCTTTTCTGTTGCTTTTTCCTGATGATTTGTCCTTATTTTCGTTGTAATTCCAGTTTGGTCTTGGGAGATGGTCTGTATAGCTTCCGTTTACTCTGCCACCATTTTGGAATCCCCTCAATTTGTACTTCTTAATCCCATCACCTTTTACCTAGCCTCCCAATGCGCTCGCCTCTGGTATCCACCAGTCTGCTTTCTATGTCTGAGTCTGTTTCAATATTATTTATTCATTTAGTTAGTTCCTTAGATTCCACATGTAAGTGACATCATATAGTATTTGTCTTTCTCTAACTTTTCACTATGCATAATACCTTCTAGATCTTTCCATGCTTTTTCAAATAGGAACATTTTGTTCTTTTTATGGCTGAGTAATATTCCATTGTATATATGTACCACTGCCTTTTTGTTGTTATTGTTAGTCCTCACCTGGGATATTTTTCCATTGACTTTTTAGAGACAGTGGAAAGAAGAGAATGAGGTGGAGGGGAAGAAACATAGAGACAGAGAGAGAGAGAGAGAGAGAGAGAGAGAGAGAGAGGAATTTTGATATGAGAGACACATCGATTGGCTACCTCCTGCATGTGTCCCAACCAGGGTAGGAGATTGAACCTGCAACCCAGGTCCAGTCCCTTGACCAGGAATCTAACCTGTGATGCTTCCATGTGCGGGTTAATGCTCTAACCACATAGCCACACCACCCAGTTCTGTACCACCACTTTTTTATCTACTTGACTATTAATGGGCACTTTGGTTGCTTCCGTATCTTGGTTATTGTAAATAATGCTGCAATGAACATAGGGCTCTGCATATTCTTTCTTTCTTTCTTTTTTTTTTTTTTTTTTTGTACAGACAGAGTGGGAGGGAGAGAGAGGAAGAGAGAGAGAGAGAGAGAAACATCGATGTGACAGGGACACATCGAGTGGCTGCCACCCGCACGACCAACCAGGGCCGGGGACAAACTGCAACCGAGGTACATGCCCTTAGCGGGAACCGAACCCAGGTCTCTCAGGACCGCAGGCCGACGCTCTTAACCGCTGAGCCAAACCGGCCAGGGCATATTCTTTCAAATTAGGGTTTTGGGTTTCTTTGGATATATACCTGGTGGTGGAATTGCTAGATCATACAGCAGTTCCATTTTTAACGTTTTGAAATGATTCCATATTATTTTCGACAGTGACTGCACCAACCTGCATTCCTCCCAACAGTACACGAGGGTTCTCTTTTCTCCACATCCTTGCCAACACTTGTTTATTTATTGATGATGGCCATTTTAACACTTATGAGGCGGTATCTCATTGTGTACCACAACTTTCTTATCTACTTGTCTTTTGATCGGCGCTTGGGTTGCTTCTATATTTTGTCAAAACAGGATCTTAAAGAGTTATTTGTACATGTGTGTTCATCACAGAATTATTCACATAGCCAAGAAGTGGAAGCAATCCAAATATCCAACAACAGGTGAACTGATAAAGAATCTGTGCTTACCCAGCCAGTGTAGTTCAGTGGATTGAGCATCCTCCCATGGACTGAGAGGTCCGAGTTTGATTCCTGGTCAGGGCACATGCCCAGGTTACAGGCTGGATCCCCAGTAGGGGACATACAGGAGGCAACCAATCAATGTATCTCTCACATTGATGTTTCTAACTCTCTCTCCCTTCCTCTCTCTCTAAATGAAAGAAAGAAAGAAAGAAAGAAAGAAAGAAAGAAAGAAAGAAAGAAATATGAAAGAGATAAAGAAACTGTGCTAAATGCTTACAATTAAATATTATGTAGCCTTAAAAAGAAGAAAATCCTGTCATATGCTGTCACGTGGATGAAGCTTGAAGACATTATGCTAAGTGAAATAAGCCAATTACAAAAGGGTAAATACTGTATGATCCCACTTATAGGAAGTATCTCTCTAAAGTAGTCAGTCATAGAAACAGAAAATAGAAAGGTGTTTACCAAGGGCTGGAGGGGCAATTAGTGTTTAGTGGGTACAGAGTTTCAGTGTTACAGGATTAAAATGTTTTAGAGATTTGCTGCACAACAATGTGAATGCACTTAACACTACTGAACAGTACACTTAAAATGGTTAAGATGGTAAATTTAATGTGTTCATAGTAAATACAAAAGCAAAAAAAATTAAAAATAATAACTTGAGACTAGGATAAAATATTGCAAAAAACACATCTGAGAAAGGACTGCTATCCAAAATATACAAAAATTGTTAACCCTCAACAAGAAAATGAACAATCTGATTTAAAAAATGGGCAAAACACCTAGTCACCTCACCAGAGAATATATTAAGATGACAAGTGAGTATATGAAAAGATGTTCAACACCATAAGTTATCAAATAATTGCAAATTAAAACACAAATGAGATTCCACTACACATCTATTAGAATTGTTAAAATCCACAAGACTGACAACAAATAATGATGTGGAACAACAGGAAGTCTCATTCAATGTTGATGAGAATGCAAAATGGAATAGCCAATTTAAAGATAATTTGGCAGTTTCTTATAAAAGTAAGCATGCTCTTAATATACAATCCAGTAATCACACTTGGTATTTACCTAAATGAACTGAAATCTTATATCCACACAAAAACCTAGATGTTCTTAACAGTTTTATTCACAACTGCCAAAACTTGGAAGCAAGTAAGATGTCCTTCAGTAAGTGAATGGATAAACCGGTACACATAGATAATGCAGTATAATTCAACACTAAAGAAAAATGAGCCCTCAAGTTATGAAAAGAAATAAATTAAACTTAAATGTGTATTACTAAGTGAAAGAAGCCAATATGAAAAGGCTACATACTGTATGATTCTAATTATATGAGATTATGGAAAAGGCAAAACTATGGAGACAGTAAAAAGATTAGTGGTAGTCCTGGGTTGAAGGAAGGGAGAGAGGGATGTATAGGCAGAGCACAGAGGATAATCAGGGCATTGTAACAATTCGGTATGATAATATAATGGTAGATACATGTCATTTATACATTTATTCGGGTACAAAGAATGTATAACACCAAGAGTGAACCCTAATGTAAATTGTAAATTTTGGATAATAATGATGTGTCAATCTAGGTTCACTGTTTGTAATAAATGTACCAATCTGGTGGAGATTATTGCTAACAATGGAGGTTTTACCCTATGGGAACATGGGGTATGCATAAACTGTACTTTCTGCTCAGTTTTGCTGTGACACTAAGACTTCTCTAAAAAGTAAAGTTTATTATTAATTAAAATAAAATCTTTTGACAACAATAATATTATTTGAGTACAGTCGGCCCTCATTCATCGCTGTTAATCAGTTCCAGACTCTACCATGATAAATGAATTTCCGTGAAGTAGGATTCTATATTTATATACGGTCATATACAACTGTAGACAAGTCTAAAATCTTACTGACAGGAATCTTATGAAGTAATAATAAACAATGATTACTCTGAAAAAAATTAAAATGCCTGAGATATGAAAAATAATAACTTTGGAATATTTTCACATTACTGGTAGAATATAAAATGGTAAAAATTGCTGTGGAAAATAGTTTGTATTTCATGAAAAATTTAAATATAGAATTACTGCATCACCTAGAAAGTCTACTCCTAGATAGATACCCAAAAGAATTGAAAACAGGTGTTCAAACAAAAACTTGTATATGCAATTTTCATACTAGCAATATTCATAGTATCCAAAAGATGGAAAAAAAGAACTAACTTCTATCAACTGATGAATGGATAAACAAACAATGGTATAGCCATAAAATGAAATGTTATTCAGCTGTAAAAACTAATGAAGTATTAATGTATACTACAGCATGAATGAACCTCGGGAACATTACATTAAGTGAAAAGGCAGACACAAAAGGCCACACAGTGTATGATTCCTTTTATATGAGATATCTAGAATAGTTAAATCCATAGAGACAGAAAGAAGATTAGTGGTTTCCAGGGACTGAGGGAGGGAGGAATGCGGCATGACTACTTAATGGCTAATGGGGGTTTCCTTTTGGGTGATGAAAATGTTCTGGAACTAGAGTGCTGATGGCTAAATGCCACTGAATTAATTGTCCACTTAATAAAGGTGTTTCCTTGGCTAGTGTGGCTCAGTTGAAGTGTTGTTCTGTGCACTGAAGGGTCTCAGGTTCAATTCCTGATCAGGGCACATATCTATGTTACAAGTTCCGTGCTGGGTTGGGGTGTGTGGGAGGCAACCAGTCGATGTTTCTCTCCCCATTTCCTCTCCCTTCCCCTCTCTCTAAAACCAATGAAAACATGTCCTTGGGTAAGGATGAAAAAAAAAAAAAAAAAAGGTGGTGGTTTTTTTTTTATCATAATAAAGAAGACTGAACTACAAAAATTAATACCTTGATTTTCTCACTCTCTTTTCTAACTCGCTTTGCATTTTCAATAATGTAAACATTTCTCTTGTTGACTTCATTGTCAGCTCTGTGTCTCAGCCAATCCTCATATCCCTAGAAGAATTAAAAAAAAAACAAAAAAACATGATATAATCAAGCTCATGTAAAGTTATTGATTTGCATAACCCACTCCATGAGTTACCAGCAAATATGTATACTTACAATATTAATTTAAATTAATAATGCTAAAGCGACAACACTGTACATTTTTATAGAAAAATTAAGATATGCTTTCAAAATACCCCTTGGTAAAAAGCTTTATTGTATTAAAAAGTTCCTCCATTCTACATTTAAGTATTAATAAAAACACAGGCATTAGAGCCTTAATATTCTTCAAGTGTGAAGGACTATGATCTATTCCTCTAATTCTACTCTTATTCAAGTTAATGTTAATTTTTTCTACTTTTGAATTTGAAAAACATTTTTTCTGGGTATTATTTTCTTACAGATTTAACCACTTAAATATATTCTTCCGTGGTAGACTATTGGATTGATCATCTCTGAAGAAATTGAATTACTCCCAGGGATAGAATAGAAAAGACAAGCTAGGATTATTTTGGCAGAGAATCCATGAGTAGTTTGGGGGATCAACAGTTAAACTTCTACACTGACTTGGTAATAAATATATATATATATATATATATATATATATATATTAGTGTTCATTTTGTAGAATTAAAAGTAATCGGGGAAAGGTCTAATGGCTCATTTCTCTTAGGGCTTTTTGTCTGGAGTGTATTTAAGGCAAAATAAACAAGGAAGGAGGATGCATGTTCAGTTGTTTCAGCACAACTTTTTCTCCTTTTTTACATCACTTTCCTTTTTTCTTTATAATTATATCCGTACCTTTTCAAATATAACTGTTTGAAAAATCGTTTGATTGCCCCCCCCTTTTTCTCAATTGCTATATTATTTCCTATTCTGTCTCTCTTTATAACAATGCTAGGCTATCACTTCAGTGAGGAAAGAAAGGCCCTAATATGAACTAGCATTGGGAATAAAATGAATCAATAAGAACTTTTGAAACCATACAGTGTATTTTGGGAAGCAACAATTCTATGATGTTAAAGAAAATAATCCTAACAGCCTAAGGGAAAGAACATTTCAAAAGTCTTGACTTAGCAACCAAGAACTTGACAAAATATTCTTGCAGTTCCTGTTAGGCAAGATAGAAAACCAGATAACCTCAAGAGGAAAAGTAACCTTATTCCCAATACTGTTAAGCAGACCTTTATTTTAGAAATTCTTTGAGACAACTGTTAAAAGCACTTCGATAAGTACTGTCTAAAAGTATGTTTGTATTTAGTCCAGTCTTGTGGCTAATTACATGATAAAAATTGTTAATCTATCCCTTTTACTCCAGTTTATGTTTCCATTTTCAATTTCCTCAGAATTTTCCAAAGGTACTGATACCGTTACAATAATATGGTTATTATTTACCAGGACAGGAATGAAGGGGAGACTAAACAATACAGGCATGCCATTTATACAGCTTTGAAAGAAAGCTGAAGTTAACACTACAGGTCTGTTTCCCGAAGACTGATGGGGGAAGGGACTAGACAAAGGCAGTTTAGACACATACACAGTAAGGATTGAGTGACATGGGAAGGTGCTTACCTGTCTCCCACACCTGGGAGTAAGTCAGTGGTCAGAATAGGCGTGGCCACTGCAATCCTGCAAAACCTGAATATTTAATCTCCTGAACAAACGATGGTTCTCTCTTTCTCTCATAGCCCCCTCCCTTGCTGTCTGCACCAGACTCCTGGCTTGTGGGGCTCCCAAGCCCTGAATTCCTCCAGGTGGCTTACGGCCATGTGGAACCCATACAATGGACTGATAGACTAAATCTAGCCTGATGCTCTGCCAGACCCAGCTCCACCAAGGTCAGAAAAGTCTGGACACTGGCTCTATTTCCATCTTTGCTAAACCCACTGCCTCCTTTCCAGGACTGGGTTAAAGGACATGGGACTTTACAACCCAAGGAATATAACTCCATGCAAATAAACACTATTTATTCTCCCATGCAAGTCTTAGAAAATTCATTTTCTAAAGATATCACAAGAGCCACCCCATTCTCACTAGCAATGGAGAAATCTAGTCCAATGATTTCTCCTATAACAGTACTATCATACAAAATGCTCAAAATACTTCAAAGACATTATAACCATACAGAGAGTTCATTTCTTTAATATAACATTTTCTCTTTTCCTTCCTTTTGATTCAAACTGGTCTTGTCCAGCACCCTGATCCACCTGCCTCCTCCTCCCTTGCATGTCCACTACCTTAATCGTTAAGCCCTTAAGACAAAGAGATTCAAGTAATATTAGGAAAAAAGCCTCGGGTCTGTTGACCCAGAGACAGAGTTTCAGTCAAATTACAGATAACGTCTAGGCCTCAGTTGTGTTTCAGTTCCAGGCCCAGAAAAGCATCAAAAATCCCCTACCCTAGTGCCGACCAATCAGTAGAGACCACGACCCTGACCACAACCCTAACTCCCTTAGTCACCATGATTAATGATTTTTTTCCTTGTACAAACCCATCCCCTAGAAGCCATTGGGGAGCCAAGTCATGGAGAATTAGCTCACCTGTGACTTCAGGTGTAGGCCGCTATCTAAAAATAAACCCTTACTTGCTTTGCTGCAAACTCCTGTTCATGTCTTATTGGGCTTTGATGCACTCAGGCAAATGGACTCCTTTAGCCCAGTAACAACATCATAGAAACACTGTATCTACTCTGGAATGATCACCTCCAGATTTTTTTTCATATGATGGAAATATATTTAAGATATTGTTTTGAGAAGTTTCTGTTACGTGGAGGTGAATAACATTTCTGATACATATAAGTTCTCAGTTCAAATATTATTTTTTGTTTCTTTCATAACATTTCTTAACATTTTTTAGTTATTCCTTTGTGGCTTTGTTGTTATTGAACGTCTTCCCTACTAGAATGTCAACTCTATGACTAGAGAGACTATGTCTGTATAGTATACCAGAACACTCACTCCCTAGTCACCATAATTAATGATTTTACCTCTATACAACCCATCCTCTGGAAGCCATCAGGGAACCAGGTCTTTGAGCATTAGCTCACCTGCGATTTCAGGCAGGCTACTTCCTAAAAATAAATCCGTACTATTTTTGCTGCAAGCTCTTGTTCGTGTCTTACCGGCCTTTGATGCACTCAGGAAAATGGACCCCTTTAATCCCTTTAGTCTGGTAACAACATCAGCAATACAAACCATGGCAATTGTCAGCTTTGACAAGAAGCAGTAAGTCTCCTCTACCTAGCACCCCCTTTAGCCATCAGGAAAGACAACAAAATTAAAGTGTTCATGTTCTTGAATTTGCTACTATAGGTGTTAACAAAAACAAAAACAAAACACTAGAATGGAAATTTTTCAGATAGACATAACACAATGAAAAAATTAATGCACATTAAAATTTTACCTCCCATTTCCCAACATGAGTTATATCCCCACACAAAAACAGTGAGGAGGAAAGGAGCATAGATATTAAGAATGTACTTTACAATCATTTTAATAGGTTTTCAATAGGAACCAAATATAAATTAAATCCAGAGATACTGTCCACTTTACATAAATATGAAAAATAATCTTTGATAATGAAATTCAAACCAGACAGGAATAAAATGCAGACATAATTGTAAATAGGAAATGTACCTGCTTGATGGCTGTAACAGTTATAACAAAGAAAAGTGGAAGTCCACTAGTAACTGGGCTAGTTGGTGTGTCTACTGTGACCTAGGTAAAGAAATTAAATTGAAAGCAAAATGAAAATGAGCCAATAACTTAATGCAGCACGTACATATTGCAAAAATTTCAGACAGAATGTAGACAAAACATATTCCAGTAACAAGGTGAATGTTAACGTTCATTAAAACAATAGCAATCCACACAGCAGTTAGTTTAAGAAAATAGTTCTAAACCAGGTTTAGTTTTCATCCCAGCTTGAATTAACCCCTTTACTGAAATACATCCATTAATTTACCATCTATTTGTTGAGCACCATTCTGTCAGCCCCTGCACTATTATGGGCCAGGCTCTAGAGATGCTGCTTTAAACAGATGAAGAAAAGTTTTTGACCTAATAATATACCTGGCAGCTTACAGGGAAAACTAGCCATTAAACAAATGATATGTTGAGATCTGAAGAGTAAACAGAAGTTAAGTAGATAAAGGGGGGGGGACGCTTTCCAGGAACAGTAAACATTGTATGCAACACCCTATGGTAGGAGAGGGAGTGTGGCACAGGTAAGGATATAAAGGAAGCCATTAACAAAAGCCTGTGGTGTGAGACGGGGCTGGAGAGAGAGATGGGCCAGACCAAGCAAGGTCCTCAGCACTAGAATTCATTCTTTATCCCGCAAACAGTGGAAAATAAGTGAAGCTTTTAAGTGGGGAGAGATCACACAAAGAAAACTACATTTTGAAAAGATTCTCACTGCATTGTGAAAAATAAAATGGAAGGGAACAAGAGTGAAGTCAGGGAGTCCATTTAGGGAGCTACTGCTCTAATCTGGATAAAAGATGTTTTGGATGAGGGGAGTAGCAGCAGACATGGAAAGATGTTTCAGAGCTTTTAGGAGGCAAAAATGGCAGGACTGGTAAAGAATTTCTTATAAGAGGTGATTAAAGATGTCTTCCAAGTATCTGGTTAACATAGCTGGTGGATGTTGTCATCATTCACTGAAATAGGAAAGAGTGAAAGAGAACTAGATTTGAGGGTCAGAGGACCATCTACCCTCACAATGCGTTTACTCTTGTCTCTAACCCCCACCCAGACCTGCCCCTGCCACACATGCTGCACTGCAGACATAGGCTTTTATATGGCTCTGTGCCTTCATGCAAAGACTAATATATCAGTCTGTAATCCTTCAAGGCTCACTGCAGATATCATCTACTATTTGAAGCCTTTTCAAGCTCCTCTTTGGTAGAAAAAAAAATCACAACCTCCACTGTATCCCCATAACATTTTGCTCATGCTACTTTTATGACTTTTACTACATTAAATTAAGTGAATGCATGACTGTTTTTCGATATGAAAGCTATATCTTGATCTTCATTGCATCTGCTAAAATCTCTGTTGTCTGGACTACTGAATGGCACATAAGAGGTTCTTGCTATATGTTCACTAAATCAAAGTGAAATGTCCTGTACACCAAATGGAATGACTCTTGTGGACATAATCCTCTATGTAGTTCTGTAAAGTATCTTATCATGGATGTAGGGAAGCCCCTTTTAAAATGGCCCATCATTCAAAATTAAAATTGGTTCTTTCCCAGATTGGTTTTGCGTAGCAGGGTTAAAGTAAATTATAGCACTATTTAAAGATCAAGCCCTGGCCAGTATGATTCAGCAGTTGAGCGTCGGCCTGCGGACCAGAGAGTTCTGGGTTCAGTTCCCGCTAGGGGCATGTACCACAAAAAAAAAAAAAAAAAAAAAAAAAAAGATGATCAACAAGGTACTTGTGCAATTTTATTGCAATGTTTCTGCTTCATTTTAAAAATTGAAATGAGAAAAAAAGTACCTTTAATGTGGTAAAATTTTCAGGGGTTGATGTTGGCAAGGGAAAAATTTTAATAGCTTATAGACTTAAAAATGGAGATGTAATTTAAAATGTCTAAATACTAGGCTTTAGTCCTTAAAGTAAATGAATAAAGAGCAAAACTGATAATCAGGAAGATAAGTGATAGATTTTCAATTAAGATAAAACTGGTGCTTAATAAAGTAAACTATTAACCTAAACTATTTTCAATTTTGATATATACCATTGCATTTATGATTTTGAATACATGTCCTTTTAGCATGAACAAAGATATAAAATCCATGAAAAGTTTTTTAAAAAGTAACAGTCACAAGTTTTCTAGTAAAAGTGCTACTTTAGAAATGTATAAAATAATAAAACCTTAAAATGTATGATTAGTACTTTAAAAAGTATTATTATAATAAACACTGAAGCATCGTTTTAATCACAGGGCATTTTAAGATTAGAAATTGATTGAAAATTTGTTTGAGTAATTATGTTTCTAAAAGTGGAGTGGCTGTTTACGGAGCTCTTACCTGTACAAGGAAAATTATAAGAAAATAAAAATTTGCTATTCTTCTAAACTGTTCAAACAGATTCTTTGGGAGGAAATTCCAAAGTGTATACTGTAAAGAAGAAAGGAAAAAAATATTTTCAGAAAACAAACTCAAAAAGAAAATTTTAGTAACAATGACTCACATGGGTCCAGATTATTACAACACTTTGAAAACATGTTAAAACCCCAAACTCACACATGTGAATAAGCATATACTTAGAGGTATGGTAAATAAACTTTTTAGTAATAAAATTTTCACTTTTGACCATTATAATTGGGTCATCTTGTCCCATACCTCTGCCTTCTCTGATCTGATTTAAATTAGGTTCTTGTTATGTGCTCTCATCTCATCCTACACTTCCCTGATAACACTTGTTGCAGTGAATAATTACACAGTTGTCCCTCGTTTATTGCGGTTAATCTGTTCCAGACTCTAGCAGTTGCATCTGGCTGAAGGATTCCTGGGGTGCTTGAATACCTAGGCCTACAGTCCATACGCACAATAATTTTAATTGTAATACAGGGTGTATAATTGACTCAAACAACCAAGCACGCTCTGTATCATTTTCACTGTCTCGATCAACTGTTTAATGAATATATTTGAAAAAACTGCGATAGAGTGAAGCCATGAAAGTTGAAGCGCGAAGTGGCAAGGGACGACTGTATATGTGTGCATTTTTAATTAAAATTTTTCCCTCAATACAGAATGACACAAAGTAGACCATAAATTAGTTGGATAAATGAATGAACAAATTAATTCCTCTAGCTAAACTAACCTCTGGAGTCTTGATCACAATCACAGATATAACTCTGTCCCTATCAATATCTCCCTCCCTCCATGACAGCTGAGGTATACACATAACCCTGGATCATAGAGGGCTTTCACTTTAATCAACAACATATCACCCTAGGGTTTTGTAACTGGTAAATAGGTCAAGGTTTTAATGCTAAATTGTATATGGGCAGGAGGAAAGACCTTTTGGGCCAATTATCAAATCATATAGACTTTCTCACTGATACCTTTAAGCTAAGGGCTGGGTCACTTAAAAATCACCAGAAACCAATATAAATGTTTCTTCAGCTAAAGATCTAAATTTATATTAGAACAGCCTCCATACAAAGTATCTCCATAATGTGAGAAAATATCCATTAAATTAAGTAAGGTAAATGAAAAGCAAAAGTCACAGAACATGAGGTAGTATATGGGAATTTACTACTAATACCACTTTAAAGAGCTTATGAGCTCAAAATCCCACAAGGTAATACCAAGAAAATTAAGATAAATAAAGGGAAACATATTCAGTGATGCAACTGCATTATAACCAACAGACAACCTACAAGGTCCCCCCACCCCCGCAAGTTTCAGAAGTGCCTCAAGGAAGCCTATCTAAAATAAAATGCAGAATTGTGTGTGCATGAACATCAATTGGGAGAAGAGAGTCCACACTTTCACCAGATTCTCAAGGCAACCTGCAACCAAAAATAAAAGAGATCAACACCACTGATCCAGTCACTTTGAAGTTGATGTAGTCCAGATCAACACCTAACTGTCCCAACAATAGGCTAACAGCTGAACTTCTGGCTTGTTGAACTTCTATTCCCTAACTAAATGATTTTTAATTAAACAAATATTAGGAACTGGTAGAGTCCTCTGGTAGGTCTTGGCACGTAAAAGGAAATGTTTATGTTGTTTCTAGGGCCCCACTGTTTCTTTGCCACTTTTCTACCTTCCTAAAGAACATGTTCCTTGAAGAAGTTGGGTTATTCCCTTTACAGGAAAACTGCTATATGCCCTCTTCTTTCCTATTTCAGGTCCTGAGCTATTTTGAGCTACAACAACATGGATATTCCTAGAGGGTATTATGCTAAGTGAAATAAGTCATACAGAGAAAAACAAACACCATGACTTCAGTTATATGTGCAATCTAAAAAAACAAAATAAACTAGCAAAACAGAAACAAACTCATAGAAAAATAATGTTTAATGGTTGGCATATTGCAAGGGTGTTGGGGGGATAGGTAAAAAGGTAAAAAGGAGGGACATCTGTAATAATTTCAACAATAAGGATAAATTTTAAAAAAGAAGTACAAATTGGTAGTTACAAAATAGTCACAAGGATGTAAAGTACAACATAGGAGATATAGTCAATAATATTATATTAACTATGTATGGTGTTAGGTAGATACTGGAAATATCAGGGGAAACATTTTGTAAAGTATATGATTATCTAGCCACTATACTGTATACTTGAAACTAATACAAAATAATAATGAATTAAACTATAATTTAAAAAAAATTATGTACAGCAAAGGGAATATAATCAATATAATATTATAATAACTATGTATGGTGTCAGTTGGGTACTAGATTTATTGGGGCAATCACTTAGTAAGTTATATGAATGTCTAATCACTATGCTGTATACTTGAAACTAATATAATATTGTATACCAACTGTAAATGAAAAAAATAAAAAATAAAAATAAACTCAAAATTCCAAACAAACAAAGGTCAGAGAGCATATCATAAGCCCCCTTACTACAGGTGCCTAATAAAAAATCTTGATTAAAATTTGTGTGTTGGACTTCTATTCCCTAACTAATTTATTCCTTTGCTCCAACATATAGCATACATTATTTCAATGCAGAATAAAAAAAGCCTATGTTTTTAGAGTTATCTGATTAAAATTTAAATTGGATTAAAGCCATCTACACCAAGTTATTCAAATTGACTTGTTTACCTAAACAATAGTCTTAGACTTAATTGCTACAAACTAATGACAATGTTAATTCACAGGGAAAATGTTTATAGTCTTTGTTTCATGAACAATGAGGAGATTATACCAGGGGCCATAAGTAAATTCTTGCTCAAAGTAAGTGGGATCTTTTATACTATCTTAACATGCAATATAATTAAAAAGCAACACAGGAATTTACATGTTTAGAAATGGGTTCTACAAATGATAGAAGTAAATGGCCATTTTAGAAAAAGCAAATACCCAGGAGATAACCAGACCCTTTTGCTTCCCAGGAGATAACTAGACCCTTTGCCTCCTAGAGATAACCAGATCTTTTGGCTTCCTGTTTCTGTAAGCTGCTTACTGCTCTCACATCTAAAGAAAGTCCACCCAGCCTGCTATAAAGCTAGGCACGCCCTACAACTCAGGGCCCAGAATTTGGTGACTGCCTCCCCTGGGTCTCCATGAGTGAATAAAGAAACCTCTTAGCTTCTCAGGTGTTCTGTCTGAGTCTTTTCCTTAACATTTTGTTCCCTGACCAGGAAATGACTCACAGGAGCAGGCGATTGCCACCAGTGAAGTGGCCCCGCGGGCACTCTGTGAAGCCCTGTGATGGAGGAAAGCGTGCGTCCCGGTCATTTCGGGTCCCTGCCCATTCCGGGCTCAGCAGCCAGCTGTTGGTGAGGTTCATGCCCCACCTGGGCTGCCAGGGAAAACAAACAGGACCAGCTTCAGAGACTGCGCAACTTCAGGACTGGTGAGTGCTCTGGGCACCAGGAGCCCGAGTACAGGCCAACCCTTGAGGTGGGAGGAGAGACTGATTATCTCTCAGGCCTTCCGGCCCGCCTGGTAGGGCAAGCCCTAATGGGAGGGAATGTTTAAACTCGTTTGAATGTCAGTGCATGAATGAGTGTGAATGTCTGTGTGGCTTCACCGGTGCAAACTTACGAAGTCTGAGTGGACCCCAACCTGCGGTACTGTGGTGACTTCATATGGCTCAGGGCAGTATCAGGTTCTGGGGGACACACTCCCTCCATGTGAACCTGATCCGAGTCAGGGGTTTGTACTGACCTGCCAAAGCTAAGAGGCACCTAAATCCCCACCCCTTGTCTGTCTGCACCATTATGGGAGGAGAAACTATGGGAAGAGGCCCATCAACAGTACTCGACTGCATGTTGCAGAATTTTAATCGGTTCCGAGGCCAAGATCTGAGCATGACCCCGAGCCAATTGGAAACCTTCTGTTCAGCTGAATGGCCTAGTTTTAGGGTAGGCTGGCCCCCTGAGGGAACCTTCAACCCAGGAATCAAGCAGGTAGTACATCTGATAGTAACAGGGAGGCCAGGACACCCAGACCAATACATCTACATAGATGGCAGGAACTACATAAATAGCTCAGGACATGCCAAAGTGGCTCCAACACTGTGATGGGCAGAAGCTGAAACTGGCAGGGGTAACCGGAACAAAGAAAAAGAACTCACCTTGCCAAACACGGGCAGTTCCCACCCATGTCCTCGTGGCTCAATTTAAGGAAGCACGCTGAACCCCCATTCTCTAAGGCGACCCAGAGGAAGAACCACCCATCCACTTACCCACCCCCCCATATGCACCTGAGATAGTCCTCTGGACGCCCAAAATCAAAACTCTACCATCATCTGTCTCACCAGCACCAGCCCCAGAAGCACCCCTGGCCTTCCCAGTCTCAACAAGGCACCAGCAATGGCACCCACTCCAGATGCCTCTCAGGGAGACCCAGGCTCCGCCACAAATTTGGCCAGATGGTACCAAGCAATTAGGATGGACCATCTTTTATTACCAACCATTCACTACCACTGACCTCTTAAACTGGAAGCACCATACCCTGTCCTACTTGGAGAAACCCCAGGCCCTGATTGACCTTATGGAGTCCATCATACAGACGCATAGTTCTACCTGGTACGACTTCTGACAGCTACTCCTCACACTGTTTAACACCGAGGAGCAAAGGTGCATTCTCCAGGAAGCCCACCAATATCTAGAGACTATGGCACCCATGGGCACTTCAGACCCAGTCCAATGGGCAACAGCAGCAGCACCTGAGACCCAACCTGACAGGGACCACCACTCAGAAAAAGGAAGGGCCGCACTTCAGAGATACAGGGACGCCTTTCTTGGCAGAATCCAGGCAGAGGCCCGATTGGCCTACTAACATATCAAAGGTAGGTAATGTGACTCAGTGGCCTGATGAATGCCCTGAGGATTTTTACGAATGTCTGTGAGGCCTATCGAATATATACCCCATTTGATCCTGAAGGGTCAGACAACCAGACAATGGTCAACATGGCATTTGTTTCCC